TCTTTCTTTCTTTCTTTCTTTCTTTCTTTCTTTCTTTCTTTCTTTCTGTCAGTGACAATGTCTTCAAGTGAATTTTTGTGGAAATAATGTAGAACATTTGCTTTAAAACTGTATGTCCCCCGAGTGGGGTTACATGAGTCAAGGTACTCATAATGCATTTGCAGCAAATTGGTTTGAAAAATATCATCAAAGGAACCAAATGCCAATAAGAATGAACAATACTTGCTAATCTTGGCTCATCAATTCAGTTTGAATTTATGTAATTTGAACTTGTTTTGAAAAGAAACTTATCATTCTACACTTGTGGGGGAGTGTTTCATAACTGAGATTTCTTCCTCACTTTACCATTGGAACCAAACCTGAAATTTGGTTAGGGCTTTTTCTTTGTTTCTCTCTCTCTCTCTCTCTTTTAAAGAAAAGAAAAAAGAGAAAATGTTTTATTTTATTTTTTGGTAAAGAGTCACTCAATGTTTCTTCCACCCACCTGCATGCCTGCCATTCTGGTCTCTGGCACAGTTACTAATGGAAAAGAGGATGTATATAGAATGTATTTCCAAAGTATCTTTTCTTTTTAAAAAGAGTGAATTCCAGGAATCTTTAGAAAAATCAGGAATGACATCTCTCTCAGTGCATTGGGCATTATCTTTGTAAAGGTCTCTATTCAGACAATTAATACTTTTTGGTGACTTTTAGAAGTAGAAAATCTGTTTAATTTCTACTATTTCTCATATCATATGTTTTATTTGAAAACAATAAAATAGTAAATAAATACACCCATTTATGCTATCTATATGGGAAGCCATAAAAACATGATTTTTAGGGCAAATCCACATTCATATATTATCAGTAAATTGAGTGTGGAGTTTTTCTTTTATGGATGCCCATGATGCTGGCTTATGAAACACATTTTTAGGACAAATGATGATTAATACACTTGTCAGGGAATTGAGCCAGGCGTTTTTCTGTTGTTGTTGTTGTTGTTGTTTTGGATGTGTATTAATTTACCAAGCACTGCCTTCTGTTTTGTCAGTGGAGAAGTCTGGGTCCCATTAGCATCTATACTTACCATACATAAATTGAGTTATGGAGGCAGATGGTAGAGGGTCATCTTTTCAGCCATGTGTGTATCTTGTGACAGAGGCTGTGATCTCATCTGATTTTCTATATTACATCCCTGTGAAATTGGAGGGAATATTAGAAACCCATATTTTACAAGCCTTAGGGTTGACTATCAAATATAACTGACCCTTAAACCTGGTGGGTGGAACTCGAGACGCCATTGTGTTTGAACTTAAACACCTTTGGGTAAATACTGGTGTCATCTAGTGCCTTCTCAAAATCTAAGGTTAAAAGGAACTTTCCTAGAGAAAATTTGACCTATAGTTTCAGGGAGATGACATGAATTAAGGGCTAATAAATTACCTCTACTAGTCCCTTGCTTCTTAGAGAAACTGAGGGTGAACTTCTGACCCCTCATTTTTTCCACACATACACTTTGCATCAACTTAAAGTTGTTTGTAGTGAAAATTTGTGAAACCTTGCCCTAATTCAAGCAGTTTTAGAAGTAGGGTCTGGTAGTTCTAGGAGATCTGTACGTGCCCCTCTGGACTTGTACAATTGTGAAAATGTGTCTCTGTGGAGAAGCATTGAGGAGGGCAATCTGCCAGCATCAAAGAGGGAGTAATTCTCTTGCAGCCATCACATCTCCTGTAGCCAATTGAGCCAGGGGGAAAAAGTCACCTGAATGGAAATGAAAGGAAACAAAATGAATGAAGTTATTTGTGATTTATCTTCTTGCAGGGAGCTCCAAGTTTTAACTTTGATCCCGATTTGCTCTGGCAGGTATGTTTCAGGTTTGCACTAGAACACTGTGTGTGTGTTTCTCAGAGAAATTAGTTTTCTTCTAGATGGTGCTGTTCTCCTCCTTTTCTTACTTTTGTGTCTAAAGATTCTTTACTAAGCCTCTCTTCTCTGCTCTTAAGGAGAACTGTCAATAAAAATGGTAGTGAAAAGCTTTTTCCCTCCTTTTTTCCCTGTGCTGTTGATCCTTTGAAAGAATGTTTTAACCTGCTTTTATTATAAATTTGATATGACATAAAGATGATGTCCAAAAATTTCACTTTCTTACATTCATTCATGAAACTGTACCCAGTTTATTTTTAAGAAAATGAATTACAGTAATGAGAGTACTTGTCAGATAATCTTAAAATTGTTTTCTTTGTTAGCTAGAACTTCCAAGTGAATGAAAATCTAATTCAAAATGGCTAAAACCAAAAGGAAGTTTAGTGGCTCACTCAACTGGAGAAAAACAAGGTATTTCTTCAGGCATAGCTTGATCCAGGGACTCAAAAGATGTTAATGGATTCTAGTTTTTCTCATTCCATTTTGTAGTTTGGCTTCCTTCATGTAAATTCATTTTCAGACAGTCCCAGTCTGCCTGTCTGAGCAAGATGGCTATAGCAGCTCTAACAATCACAAAAGGAAAGGGTAGGGAGAAAGTTATATTTTAAGAAAATGCAAAAAAAAAAAAAAAAAAAAGAAACCAATCCCAGAATAATGATAATTACTGAGATGGAACATAAACTTCACTCTAAACTTAGCCACCGAGGCTAAAAGGATAATACATAAAACCTTTTAGTTCTCATTTGCTTAATAAATTAAATGGCATTCATTCATTAAGAAAAACAAACGTTATACTTGCACTAACTTTGGCAGAATTTATCAGATGGGATCTAAATGAGTGACATTAAGGGATTTAGTAAAAGTTGCAGAAAATGTATTTGATCTCGTGAACTTGTTATCTAAAGTGGATTAAGAAGCTAGGGGCATAATATCACTGGATGACAGTATTTCTGTGGTAACTGAAATGAGCATTGTGGGTATATAGCTTTCCAGTCACATGACCAGCCAGGTACTTGTATGTCATAAATGGTTCTTCTTCAGTAATATTTGTCCTCATCAGGCTTCTCTATGGGAGATGAATAGTGAGCAATTCAACCTTGAACTTGACCAAATTGCTGATTTGTAGTTGTACTGTTGGTCAAAGATTATGACTTTGCATTCAGGTGCTAAACTCCAGTGGTGAGGTTGATCTTTTGGTATTTAAACTAAAGACCAAGACTTGTCTTTGTGCTTAGGTAGATGACTGCTGTTCTTCCACATGGGGTGAAGCTGATCTGCAGTTGCATTAAATTTCTTTTAAAAGATACACTGGTATTTGGTCAAATTCTGCCAATTCAGTTCTGTGAGGCATGGAAGGGATGCACTGGAACATGGAGAATGTAAGAGCTACAGTGGCAACTTTTCCAAAGGTCACACAGCTAGGAAAGGAGAGATTTCAAATTCAAACCTAGGCCATTGAATGCATCCCAGTTCCCAGTATGAACTTCATTTGAGTCCTGGGATCTAGTCAGGAACATCACTGCGTGGCCGAAACGTTTTCTTTGGCTCTAAGCTCCTTAGGTTTATTTCTTCTGTCTTTTGAACTCTTACCTGTTTGAGTCTAAACACTGCACTCTACTTAGAATGAGTTCTTCTCCCAAGATGAGTTGTTCATAGGAAATTTGTTTCAAGCCCAGTTTTTCTAGCCAGCCATTATGGTGGCTTTTAAACTTTAAAACTTTGCCCCACTCTGTGGCTGTTAAAAAGAATAAGAACAAAAATAACACTTTGCACCACTGGTGACAACCCACAGCCTGAATACCACTGAACACACATGGTGTAGGGCACCTGACATATAATAACCTGTGAGTAGGCATAATTAGCCCCATTTCACAGATGAGAAAGTTGTGCTTTAGGAAGGATAAGCAACCTGCTAAGGTCCTACATCTAGGCAGCTGGTAACTGAAATCTGAATGTAGATTTTTCCTCCAGAGTTTCAATACTTTCTACTCCTTCATTCTGCTTTTGCTGAAGAGAGCCCATAGGTTCAACTGGTTTTTCTCTCAAAACTTACTTTGGAAATTATGCACTGGAGTTTGTATCATAGAACAGGTTGAGGCAGCTCATGGGAGCTGAAGAGGTCTCTGATATTTTTGGGGAGGTGTGATGTTGTGCTTTGTGCTACCAAGCAAGAGTCATCACTTTTTTCAGCCCTCCAAATAGGGCTCCAAATATGTACCCTACAGCCAACATATGCCCTGTTTTCCCCCTTGAGTTTTAAGTCTTGCCCTGCAGTCTTTATAACAGTTGGAGCATAACTCATTCAAACTTGCAAAGCCCTGTGTTTTTGATTTGTGATATCCATTTACGATACCAGAAATTATCCTTTAGCTTATTTCTTTTTCTTGAGAAATTTCTTCATCTTCTCATCTTTCAACTTAAAAAAAAACTTTGTCCCATTTAACTATTTTCCTTAAATAAGGGAAAAAAATGTGGGTTTTAAGTGATAGCCAGAAAAAGCAAAATGTCAAGTTAAATGTTAGCTCTGGATGATATATAGTTGTTATTTGGAAGCAAGGAAGACTTAAAAAAATGATGAGTCTTCTTTCTTTTTTTTGCCCAAACTCTTCTTATGATGTGTTTGAATATTTGAGTTGCCAGTCAATAATTCCTGCTATGAACAGGTTTCATTTGTGTGAATTTAACTCCTGAAGTTGAATTGCAGACACCTGTGTTTACTGAGTAGCTTTTTTGTGCACAGCACCATGGTGGACCTTTCAAAAAAAAATTGAACATTCATTAAAATTTTTTTTAAATTTATTTTTATTTTTAAATGTTTATTTTTGAGAGAGACAGAGAAAGAGTGAGCGCATAAGCAGGGGAGGGGCAGAGAGAGACATACACAGAATCTGAAACAGACTCCAGGCTCTGAGCTGTAAGTACAGTGCCCAATGTGTGGCTCGAACCCACAAACTGTGAGATCATGACCCCAGCTAAAGTTGGGTGCTCAACTGACTGAGCCACCTAGGCACCCCCAGTTTATTTATTTATTTTTAAATGCCTATTTATTTGTTTATTTATTTATTTATTTATTTATTTATTTATGAGAGAGAGAGAGAGAGAGAGAGAGAGAGAGAGACAGCGAGTGAGCAGGGGAGGGGCAGAGAGAGAGAGATAGAGAATCCGAAGCAGGCTCTAGGCTGTCAGTGCAGAGCTGGATGCGGGGCTTGAACTCACAAACCTAGAGATTATGACCTGAACTGAAGTCAGACACAACCGACTGAGCCACCCAGGTGCTCCTTAAATTTATTTTTTTAAAGTAATCTCTGCTTGCAATGTGGGGCTTGAATTCACAACTCTAAGATCAAGACTTGCCCATTCCACTGACTGAGGCAGGCAGGTGCCGGGAACACTCAGTTTTTAAGAGGCTAATGGAAGGAAGTATATGAGATAGGATCTAAATAGTGACCTAAGAATGGCAAAATGTGCTGCAGGGGCTCAAAGGATATCAAATGTGAGAGGGGCAGGGAATGATTCCTGGAGGAGGTAGAATTTGAGGAGAGCCTTGAAAAGTTGGCATGATTTTAAAAAGGGGAAGGGTATGGTTTATAAACAATGGGGACTGTATGAGTAAAGGCAAGGAGACTGGAAAATATAAGAAGTATGTGGGGGAGAGCAAGTCATTCAGTTTGGTTGAAAGACTTTCAGTTTAAAAAAACAATAGAAGGTCAAATAAAACCATAAGAAAGTGGGAGAAAAGAAATAATAAAAAAAAGCTGAAATGAATGAAATAGAAACCAAACATATACTGGAGGGGAACACCAAAGCCAAACACTGATTCTTTGAAGAGAGGAACAAAAATAACAAATCCTTGTTAGACTCATTGAGGAAAATAGCCAATATCATGATTGAAAGGGGGCATCACCATCAATCTTATTGACATTAAAAATATGAGAGGAGGGGCGCCTGGGTGGCGCAGTCGGTTAAGCGTCTGACTTCAGCCAGGTCACGATCTCGCGGTCCGTGAGTTTGAGCCCCGCGTTGGGCTCTGGGCTGATGGCTCAGAGCCTGGAGCCTGTTTCCGGTTCTGTGTCTCCCTCTCTCTCTGCCCCTCGCCCGTTCATGCTCTGTCTCTCTCTGTCCCAAAAATAGATAAACGTTGAAAAAAAAAAAAAAGAGAAAAAAATATGAGAGGATTTTATTAACAACATTATGATAATCAAATAGAAATTTTAGGTAAGTTTTTGTAAAAACACAACTTGTCAAAACTGCCTGAGAAGAAATAGAATATCTGAGTAGTCCTGTACATTAAGGAAAAATGATTCTATATCTAAAATCTTACACACACACACACACACACACACACACACACACACACACACACAGCAATGCCCAAATCCAAAAACCAAACCAAACATAAAAACCTTCAAGCCCAGATGGCTTCTTCAGTGAATGTTACTAAACATTTGAGATTTGAAGAAAAAATTATATTAGTCATACAGAAACTATTCCAGAGACTAGAAGAAGAGGGAACATTTCCTATCTTATTTTATGAGGCCACTGTAACCTTGATATCAGTACCCAACAAAGTCACTACATAAAATTGCAAGCAGTCTCTTTCGTAAACATGGATTTAAAATATCCTACTGAACTGAACACAGTGACAGTTAAAGGATCTGACCAAGTTGTGCTTATTCCAAGAATGCAAGGTTAGACAAATATTTGGATATCAGTCAATGTTATTTAATTTTCTTGAATGTTTATTTATTTTGAGAGGGAGAGAGAAAAAAAAAAAGAGAAAGAGAGAATCCCAAGCAGGCTCCACACTGTCAGTGCAGAGCCTGTCATGGGGCTTGATCTCGCAAGGGAGATCTCTCTGTGAGATCATGACCTGAGCTGAAATCAAGAGTTAGACACGTAACCAACTGAGCCACACAGGTGCCCCATTTAATGTTATTTACTACATTAATAGGATAAAGGAGAAAAATAAATGTAATTTCAATAAATGCAGAGAAATCATTTGATAAATGCAACATCCATCCATATAAAAAAAAGTTGTTTTTTATCTAACTCAGGTTAGAAAGAGAGGATTTTCTTAATAAGAAATAGCTGTTAGAAAACTATGATCAACATCATATCTAATAAAATGTTGAAAGCTTTCCTTATGATATAAAAAATAAGACAAAATGCCTGTTACTGTCACTTCTATTCCATAATGTTATGGACATCCTAAGTATAAGAATTATAAAGGAAGAAATAAAACTACTTTTATTCACAGGCACCATAATTGTGTGTGTAAGAAATCTCAATGAATTCATATATAAACAATTAGATTAGTAAATGAACTTAGCTAGGTAGCTAGTCAGTACTTAAAAATGAATCATGTTTCTACATGCCAATGACAAACATTTACGCAAGAAACATTTGAAAACAATATTATTTATGATGGTATTAAAAAACCCAAAATAGGGGCGCCTGGGTGGCGCAGTCGGTTAAACGTCCGACTTCAGCCAGGTCACGATCTCGCGGTCCGTGAGTTCGAGCCCCGCGTCGGGCTCTGGGCTGACGGCTCAGAGCCTGGAGCCTGTTTCCGATTCTGTGTCTCCCTCTCTCTCTGCCCCTCCCCCGTTCATGCTCTGTCTCTCTCTGTCCCAAAAATAAATAAACGTTGAAAAAAAAAAACAAACCCAAAATATCTAGGAGCAGATCTAACAATGGTAGTATAAGACTCAACGTAAACAGAAGATTCAAAACATAATTAGATGTGGAATAACAAAAAACTTGAACAAGTGAAATAGCTATCAACAATGGCGTGGATAAATAGTGAAATATTCATGCAATGAAATGTTATATGGCGATGAGAAGTACCAAGCTATTGCTTCATATAACAGCATAATTCAATACCCCCAAAACAGTGTTGAAAGAAGCCAGACACAAAAGAACACATACAATGTAATTCTGTTTATATGCATGTGTTCCAAAAATAGAAATAATGAATAGTGTTAGATACCTGGATAGTGGATAGTGTAGTGATGGGGTTTGGAGACTGGGAGGGGGCATGAAGGAAGTTTCTAGAGTACAAGGAATATTCTATTCCATGATCTGGTTTGCATGTGCCCAGGTGTGTTTACTTTGGCATAATTCATCATGCGAAAATTATGATTTGGCTACTTTCTTATGTGTAATACACTTTAATTCAAAGTTCATTTATTTTTTTTTCAATTTTTTTTCAATGTTTTATTTATTTTTGAGACAGAGAGAGACAGAGCATGAACAGGGGAGGGGCAGAGAGAGAGGGAGACACAGAATCGGAAACAGGCTCCTGGCTCCGAGCCATCAGCCCAGAGCCTGAGGCGGGGCTCGAACTCACGGACCGCAAGATTGTGACCTGGCTGAAGTCGGACGCTTAACCGACTGCGCCACCCAGGTGCCCCAAAGTTCATTTAAAAATAAAGGAAGAAGGGGCACCTGGGTGGCTCAGTTGGTTAAGCCTCTGACTCTTGGTTTCAGCTCAGGTCATTTTCTCATTGTAGTGGGATCTGGCTCCGGAGTCAAGTTCTGCTCTATAAGCTCAGAGCCTGCTTAGGATTCTCTCTCTCCCCCTCTCTCTGCTCCTCTCCTGTTCACACGCATGTGTGCACTGTCTCTCTCTCTCTCTCTCTCTCTCTCTCTCTCTCTCTCTCTCAAAACAAATAAATAAACTTAAAAAAAATAAAAGGAAGAAAAAGTCACCGATAAAAAGACAAATAATCTTTTAAAAATTGAGCAAAGGATTTGAATAGATGTTTTTCCAGTGAACACATACAAGTGGGCAATAAGGACACAAAAAGATGTTCCAACAGGAAATGCAAATCAAACCCTCCATTAGATACAACTGATTCCCCATTAGTATGGCTAAAAAAAAAAAAAAAAAAAGACAGTAACAAGTGTTGGGGAGGATGTGGAAAAATCATACTCTCATATATTGATGGTGGGAGTGTAAAATGGTTCAGTCCATTTTGGAAAACAATTTGGCAGTTCCTTAAAGTGTTAAATGTAGTTGCTGTGTGACTCAGTAGTCCTCCTTGGGGTACACCCGACCAAACTGAAAACATATGTAAAAACCTGGACTGTACACTGGTGCTCATATGCCATTATTAATAATAACCAAAATGCTAAAAAGAAATCCAAGTATCCATTATCCTATGCGAGTAAACAAATTTTGGTAAACACATAGAGTGGAATATTATTTGTCCATGAAAAGAAATGAAATACTGATACATGCTGTAACCTGGGTGAATCTTGAAAATATAATGCTAAATGAAAGAAGCTGGTGCAAAAAGCCACTTATTATGTGATTCCATTTATGAAATGTCTAATATAGGTATATCTATAGATATAGTAAGTAGACTAGTTGCTGTTAGGAGATGGGGAGAGGAGAAAAAGGAGTGACTGCCGGTGGGTACAGGGCTTTTGGTGGTAAAAATACTGTGGAATAAAGTGTGCACTGGATTGCATACTTTAAAGGGGCAAATTTTATGGCACATGTGTATATCAATAAAACTATTATTCAAAAATAAAGATATTTCAAAGGAAAGGATCAATAACTTTGATTACTTAAAAATTAAAAATATAGGGGCGCCTGGGTGGCGCAGTCGGTTGAGCGTCCGACTTCAGCCAGGTCACGATCTCGCGGTCCGTGAGTTCGAGCCCCGCGTCAGGCTCTGGGCTGATGGCTCGGAGCCTGGAGCCTGTTTCCGATTCTGTGTCTCCCTCTCTCTCTCTCTGCCCCTCCCCCGTTCATGCTCTGTCTCTCTCTGTCCCCAAAATAAATAAACGTTGAAAAAAAAATTAAAAAAAAATTAAAAATATAAACAGAACTATACAGTAACCTATCAGATGTATTTCTAAGGTTTATAGTAGTTGGAGACTTAATATTCTTACTATATAAAGAAGATATATTCTCAATGTAATGTAGAGTAAAAGCTTGAGGAAAAAAATGTCAAAATGTTGACACTAATTCTGGATGAGGTGATTGTAAAGGATGTTTTCCTCTTCCCCCCCCTCTAAATTTTTATGTTTGCAATAATTTGTATTCATTACATAGGAATGATTAGGAATTATTATTTAGGAAAAACAATGGTAAGTTCATTTTTAAAAAGCTTAAAGCTGCACAATTTATTCTATCCTGGTTTTCTTTTGTTGAACTGAGAAGATTCCAAAGAGGAAAAGCTTAGATTATTTATGGAAATTGATAATCTGGCTCTCCTGCTTACTGTTTCTCTGGGCTCCAGCTTTCCCATCTGTGAAATGGAACCTTGATACCAGCCTGCATAGGGTTGTGGAGAATGTTAAAAATGAATGAAGGTGTGGGAAAATCCTGGTATATAATAAATGCTCAAAGAATTCTTTGCTTCTCTATCCCTTCCCTTTTAGACTGAAAATTGTGTTTTACCTATAAAAAAGAGGTGGTACATTTGAATAAGGACAGGCAAGAAATTTAACAAGATTACTTCAGGCAGAATCTTAGCTCAGAATACACACACAGCTGGTGTGTAGAAAGACTTTAAAAGCATCTTTGAGAGGAGAAACCAGTGGAGGAAAAAAATAGCAACTCTCAGTAGGCCTGTGGTGTAATAAATGACCTAGGGACCTGGCTTTCTGGCTATTGGGCCTTTGGCAAGTCACTTGTCTTTTCTGGCTCTTACTATTCTCATTTGGCAATGTAGAGATTGGACCAAGAGTCCTGACTTTAAAAATTCTACCAAGTTTTGAGGCTTGGTGACTGGCAATTTGGAGTCTCAAAGGGCCTGCCTGGAGAGTCTGAATTGACATGACATTCTTGCAAAATTTAAATCTTTGCTTTGTTTGTTCCATCTTGGCCAGCCCTGCCCAGGCCAGTAACCCCTGTACTCTCTCCCTTGTTGGTGCTCAGGTTCCCAGCCTATTGTTTATTTAGGGATTGTGATTTCCTTATTGGCGTGCACCTCAGCCAGCAGGGTTGAAAAGTCAACCACAGGCCTCATGTGAACTTCCCCTTTCAAGTTTCAGTAATGACAGTGTACCGGCCATCACATGCCTCATCCCTAAGGCATGGTCTAGTTTCCACATCCATCAGGCCGTGCTGGTAACTTGGGGTGGCCTGAATTCCTCTGCCGCCTGTTGCTTTTTCCATGAGATAAACTGGTTGAACATAGAAGGATTTGTGGTATGTTTTGAGATCCTAAGACTTCAACCAGGGCTGTTGAAGGCATTGCAGGGATGGTTTAAAAGGAATGGGAAGAGCAAATACATGTTGCTAGAGGCCAGTGAAGAGAGCTTTCTCACCCAATCTTTTCCTAAAGAGCATTGGAAGAGAATAGAGGTTTCAGATGTCCATCTTTTCAATACTCCTTGAAATGCAATCACTGTTTTACAAAGTAGTATTTCACTGGATCTCTGGGAATTCAAACTCATTTGTATTTATATGTATGTGGAAGATGACTTTGATCCAGGCTTAGGGAGGGTTGGGCTGCACACACCGAGGGGCTACCCTGTCATCTGGAAGCACTTTCTGAAATTTCTTCCTCCCCGTCTTCTCTCCCAAATCTTTTCACTGTTTTCTTTTGACCTTGCCCTGTGATCTTTGAAGGCTAATCTTACTGTGTGGAAGAAAGGATCAAAATAGCCCAGCTTCTAGGTGGCAAACCTTCTCTGAGGTTAGTTTTCCTGAGATTTTCCTGGGGACAGTGAGGTCTCACTGTGTGGCTTCTTCTCTTCTATATGTGGAGGGAACCATTCCAGTTTATTAAAGGTGTTTTTAAAATGATCGAAGAAGACAATTTAGGTGATACAAACAAATTTTATCTAGGACTTTTTGAAGCAGTCTCCATTTGGAGTACTGGAAAATGGTGTGGAAGTCAGGAAAGTTTTATAGGATAAAGAATTAAGAACAAGAAAGAAAAAAATTAAAAAAAAAGAGATGATTGCCTGGGGTCACATAGTCAAACTTGTTTGAGTTGAGAAGGAACAAGGAAATTAGAACTCAGAATTGGCTTGTCATTTGGGGATTGGCTGACTAGATATACTACATTTCTGGTCAAGGGGAGCATTTACAGGGACATGAAAGTTATCTAAGTATTGGTTTGCCGACAAGCAATCCCAAGCAGAAGTAGAGCCATCTTGGGCCTAGAAAGTTATTTCAACAAAGGGAAAATCTTAGGCAAGTTATTTACCTTCTGTAGGTCTTCCAACCTATAAAGTGGATAAAATAAGTACTTAATTCATGAGGTTATAGGGAAGATTAAATGAGATTTTCTAGCACAGCGTTTGCCTTAGTAATCCATACACATTAGCTGTTGTTGTTATTAACTGCATTTTTAATGCCGGAATAGAGAAACTTCACTTCTTTTCTATATTATTCTTTTCTATAAATTCAGATAATGCAAATATACATATATATTCAACATAAATGGGGTAGAAAACATAGGTCTAAAAAAGAAATCTTTTGATATGGCTTTGTTCCCCACATGAGGAGCTTACAAATAAATACAGAGTTTTGTGTCACCTCCATCCTGAAAGGGAATGTCCTTGGGTGACACCAAGTCATTGATAGTTTTTATTCACTCCCTAGATGAATCTGATGCACCTAGTCCACAGATTGGCACTGGGGAGCCTCTACATTAGTGTATGTCATAGGCACATGGAAATGATTTTGGATTAACCAATGCTCTCTTCCATGCATTGGGAATGTAGAAAGCTATCAGTATTAATTGAAGCAACTTTCTTTGAAGGGCCGATAGCCAAGAGGCACAGGTGCAACTATAGTGGTTAAAATTGAAATACTTCTGTGGTTATCTCAAATCCCCAGAGTACCCTCCCCCACTCCAGCAACTAAAAAGTTAACCCCTGGCCTTTCAGAAACTTCCCCAGACCTGCTTCCATTGTTCTAGGTGGTGTCTGTTCTGGTTGGTTCTCCTCCTATGCTATACTGGTTGTTCAGTGACATAGCAATCACCATGATTCTATGGGATTTAAAGTCTCTTCAAAACTTTTTTGACTCTTTCTTTCTTGACACCTAACTCTCTTATATTCTGTGACTTTTCTATGACTTCATCAATTTTACACTTCTTTTTGGTGATGCCTGTACTGTTTTCTGTTTCCTCAATTCTTAACCCTGTCTAAGAATTCTTTCACCACTAGGCTGATGATCTGTCATGTCTACTGTCTCAACTCCCATTTGGCTTATATTTTTATTATTAACTTCCCAAAGGCTGTCTTGTTGCTGTCTTTTTACCAGCTTATAAATGACTCCCAATCAGACCCAAGTACAAACTCCTTGCTTGATTCTCAAGAGTGCTTATCATTAAGCCCGTCCTTCTTTTCTTTTCTAACTCCTCTGCAGAAAAAAATTATCTGTACTTCTTTTTCTTTTTTTTTTTTTTGTGATCTGTACTTCTTAATTAGTCCTGTCTTCTTATTCCTCCTTCATATATAATTCATACTTGTTATTTTGTTCTTTCAATTTCTATTAATTAAATATTATGTGCTGGACACCATGCTGAGTACTCTTTACTTTGCATGTGTTATTATTTTTGGCCAGAAAGAATTTCATCCTCTCTATGATAATGTTACTCTTATCCATCTCCAGACCCTATATTAGGGGATTTTCTGGAGATTTGTTGACTCTGCAATGGTGGTCTTACCCATTTCTGACCTCTCTCTGTAGATTTGTAGAATATTATATCTAACTGTATTTTGGTATTCTCTTTCATGCTATAACTTTTGTGTTATACTCTTCTAGTTGCAAGTGGCTGAAACCCTGCTATTGTATTTTGGAATTCTGGGGATTGGATGGTTAAGATATAGCTCTGTCTAGCTGTTCAAATGATGTTATAAGGGCCCAGTCATTTAGGCAGATTCTTAATCATGGTATCAAAGAAGGCCATAACCAGCCACAGGCCGATATTTTCCTTATCATTCATAATCTCAGAAAAGGAGAAACATAAACTCAGAAAAGGAGAGACCCCTGAAGTTATGTCAGTTCCCTCCTAAAAGAACTCTGATTGGCCTTGATGGCATAATGAGTTTACCCCAGGTCAGTCAGCATCCAGAGAATCCATGGTACTTGCCATTGAGCAGGGTCACACATGAAAACCCCACTAAAACCACAGGGAGTTGGGGAGATGTAGTTCCTAAAAAGGAAAAGAAGCTGAGTAGACAATTAAAAAGTAATTGATAAATGCTACAGCTAAAAATGGGAAGAAGGTAATCTTTGTAGAGCACCTACTGTGTGTTAGCTTAAATTCTGAGAGATCTACATGTTGTCACTCATGTAATTCTTATAACAGCCTTGTGTTACGGGATTAGTAAGGTTAGAAATATGCTCACAAAGTTAAATGGGGTGGACTAAAAGCGGAAGCTACTGTCTTCTACATGTGTACCTCACAAAACTGGGGAATGGGTGGGGACTTACTGTACTGTTATTGGCTTATGATAATGATGACAAACTTTTACTCTCATGGGGAAGGTTCCATGATAGGTACTTTGCATGCATTATAGATCACTTGGAATTTTCATGACATGCTTTTGAGCATGGTCTTATTTCAAAGAGGCTCAGTATCTTGACCGAAGGCATAAAAATCAGGATTTACATCCAGGTTTGTGACTCTCTAAGGGTCAGGAGGATTTTTTTAATGTTTATTTATTTTGAGAGAGAGAGAGAAAGAGAGAGAGAGAGAGAGAGAGAGAGCGAGCGAGCACACACATGAGGGGGAGAGGGGCAGAAAGAGAGGGAGAGAGAGAGCATCCCAAGCAGGCTCCATGCTGTCAATGCAGAGCCCAGTGCTGGGGCTGGATCTCAATGCTTAACCAACTGTGCCACCCAGGTGCCCCCAGGAGGATTGTTTTATTTTCAGCTCTTTTTTTTTTCAGACTTGAGTCTCATAACAACAACAACATCAACAAATTCATACATGCAGACCAAAACCTCAGTGGTTGCATTGTGTCCAGAAAGAAACACTGGATGCACATCTTCTGCCCATGGGTCATTAGCAATGTGCACAGAGACAGAACAACAGAAAGGATGCATTCCAGGGACATGGGCTTCATGAAGAATGAGTCAGAAGTAGGCAAATGAGGCCATGGAAAGAAACATTGTAGCGCCCTAATTACTTGGAACTTGACTTGATTCTGTGCTTGTACATTTTGCTATAAAGAATTAGGTACCATCTGAACAAGCAGACAAACACAAAAAACAATACTATCACAAAAAACAGCACGTCCCCTGTCATCTTCTCATCTAGGTCACCATCTTTTTACAGTTTGATAAGGCTCAAGAAGGTGAGTTACTGTTGTTTTTTGTTTTTAGTTTTTGCTTTAACATGCTGTAGGCCGAAGTTGACTTCTTTCTGGAGTGCTTGACTTGGGCTCACAAAACTGTGGCTAATCCCACACAGTAAATGCTTCCAAAGTCAGGGCGTTCCTCAGATAGCCTAAGACCAAGGGCCGTTCAGTTATGTTTGCAACTACAACTAGATGAGTTTTATAAGTTAAGCCTTCAGGAGCCTCTGTGGCATCCAGTAATAATAGTCTAGAATTTTATTCTAAATAAAGTATAATATAATTAGGTTGGGACACTTCCTGAACATTAGATCACATCTTCTTCCTTAAACCAAATTGGCCCTAAGTTTGTTGATCAATGTCTGCAGACCGATATGTGATCACGGTGAGTTCCATGCTCCATAAAAACTGTCTATATTTTCTTTCTTGGCCTCATATTAAAATAAAACCAGTAATTCTTACTGTATTTGTAAGGAAGGCACATTGTGACACTTAGCAATAACATAATTATTACTTTTTGTGACTAAATGATATTGCTTTTTTTATGTTCTGCCCACTCATCATTTCAGTGTTCACTGTTCCTGGAGAGGACTTGAAATCTTTTTCTTGCTGTTTAAGGGGAACATACTGTTTGACAAATACAAAAGGATAATAAAGGCTTCTGGACTGGCAAAGATGCTCCAGAAAGTTTACTCCCAGGGCTGGTGTATACTTAGGCCAAGTTGGATAGCTCTTGAGAGTAGGTTAATATTTTTCTAAATGTTAGCTTATAAAGTTGTCTTGGTCTCTTCCACATTGGACACAAGTCTTGTCCCTTGTGTATGCTGGATATTTGTAGTCATTTAAAACACCCAAGTCACCTGAGAACCTTGTGAAAATGCAGATTCAGATTCAGTAGGTCTGGGTTGGGACTTGAGATTCTGTATTTCTAAAACTCTCTCAGGTGATGTCAGTGCTGATGGTCTGTGGGCCACACTTTGAGTAATAGTGATCTAGATTATACTCCATGTTAGAGAAGGGTCCCCATGAATCTTGTTAAGATTTAATTAGTATCTCATATACCTGGCAATGTGACTGGTACCCAGTAGATGCTCAGTATGTATTTCTAGAATGAATGAGAAAACTGTGCATGTCTCAGTTTACTATCAACTGTAGCAGACATGTCCTAGAAATATTCAGAGATTAGTAAAAAAAGAAAACAGATAAAACAGAGATAAACTTATTTCAATCTTCCCATCCATTCTCATTGCTGTACTCCATCACCCATGGGCTCGTGCTAATATTTATGGCTGGTGTAAGAATCAGCACATAGGCCTGTTGGGTTGATGGATGCTAGGGGTTCAATTCCAGTCGTTTATGTGTTAGTTGCCCATCAGATACCTCTTTTATATCTTTTGAATGATAGATGTAAAATAGTCTTGAGTATGAATCATTAAGTAGGACTTATGATCTGCAAATATACGTATAAAATTTTTACAAGTATTATTTTATGAATGTGTGGAAAGAAATGATTTGAAAGAGATATTCAATTCAGATAATTTTTTCTGACTAATAGGGAATGAAACAAACACATTTAAGCTGTTTTTTCCCTCCTGAAACTCCCCCCCCCATAGTCTTACAGTTCTTAATGAAAATATGATGTAAAAGCAAAACAGTTTCATGGTTGTCTTACCTCAAGATTATTGAAAAAATGTCACCTATGACATGAAGTGGTAGGTTCTAAGACTATGGGAGTCTGTGTTCTTTCAGTGCTCTGGGCTCAGAGCAGGCACTCAGTAAACCACTTTTGAGTGACAGAAGCCAAAAGGTGATCTGGATATTTAAGCACATAATTATTTTAAATGGGGAATAATCATAGCAAATTTTCCCATGAAGAATCCAGTATATAACTCTGAGCTTAATGTGGTCATTAAAATCATATATTTTTTTCAATAATTGACTTCTAGAGGATTAGTACTGAGAAAAATCAAATTAAATAGAATACTTTGCTGTAGGACTTCCAGAGCCATTAATGCTGATCAGCATAGGGGATCCCCAGTAAGCATTTGTCAAACTTATTTGACCCTGAAATCCCCTTATCACAGAGCTTTTTTGTGTTCTGTGGTTTCAGGAAAAGATTTTCTATGTAGTATTTCACTTTCCCCATCTCCAAGGAAGGTCCACAATTAATCGAGTTTGATAGTTTGCTTATTTGTGAAACATAATCAAAATGAATACTTGAAAGTCACTACATAAATTGTTTAAAATTTGGTGATAAATAACCTGTAAAGATGTTCAAATGAAGGAAACTGGTGATAGGGAGTAAATTTTTCTCTTCCTTCTGAAACTGCACTTTTCAGCACTATGTCTTCATGTTAGGTTTTCCCCCTCTCTACTGTAGATTAGTGCTTAGAGTTCTTGGGATGTACAGTTAGTATCAGTTTTGCAGGACAACACCCATGTATCACATTGAGCCATAGTAGGACCTGTGAGGTAATTACCTTCTGTAGTTCCTAAATATATATGTTTATAGTAACTTGTCTTAGTTTTAGAGATTTGAAAAAAAAGAAAAAGATAAAATTTCTTCTTCCCGAATTCCTCAGAGGCAGCTGAGAAGCTGTGACCATGACAGACATTGTTTGTTTTTCATACTTCTATTTCCTCATGTCTTTATCTGCCTAGCATTTTCAATATTTTCTTGGGCACAGTCAATATACACCATCTTATATATCTATGTATTTTGTATCCTTTCCCTTCTCTAGATCTTAATGATATTCTCCTATCTCCTTTACCCTGTGCTCAAGATTTCAGGTATGAATTCTGTTGACCTTAAACTTGGCTTCTTAAAGAATAGAAACCTAAATAAGAACAGAAAAAAAATAGATTGTTATTAAAATGACTAAATGACTTCCACAACAGCCCCCACTTTTTTTTTTTTTTAAGTATTTTGGGACACCTGCAGCTTAAGGAAAAAAATTTGTGAGGAAAAAGAAAGGTGATTAATTTAAGAAAATTTGTAGGGGTGCCTGGGTGGCTCAGTCGGTTAGGCGTCTGACTTCGGCTCAGGTCATGATCTCGCGATCCGTGAGTTCAAGCCCCGCGTTGGGCTCTGTGCTGACAGCTCAGAGCCTGGAGCCTGTTTCAGATTCTGTGTCTCCCTCTCTCTCTGACCCTCCCTCATTCATGCTCTGTCTCTCTCTGTCTCAAAAATAAATAAACGTTAAAAAAAAGAAAATTTGTAAAAGTTAAAAATATTCTATTTATAATAGATTTATAAAATATAATAGATTTATAAAATTTATTTACTGAGATCCAAGTTAGTTAATATACAGTGTAGTATTGGTTTCATGACTTGAATCCAGTGGTTCATCACTTACATATAATACCCAGTGCTCATGCCAACAAGTGCCTTCCTTAATGCCTATCACCAATTTACCCCATTGCCCTACCCACCTCCTCTTATGTGTTTTACTATTTAGTGAAAATTTACTTCAGATGCGTATAGGTCAAGATAATTTTTTTCATGTCACAAAACTTTCTATCTTAACCCTGTTCTGATCTTTCTTTAGCAGTATGCAATTTTTTAAAGTGCAGTGAAAAGCTCCTTCCAACCCAGTTAGAAGTTGGTAGTTGTGGTCATTGCTAACTAAAGCCTCAGGATTTGACCAATGGGAAAGGTGAAGATTTCTTCTCCCCATACCTATGTGATTGACACCTGAAAATCTAAGTGTATGAAAACATTAAGGTGTAAGACATGAGGACCACAAAGTGTATTGCACATATGTCTTTATACATGTATATTTGTGTATACATATGTACATACATACATATAAATATGCTCACTTCAGACTTGGGTCTGAAATCCCGGAAGATTTTGGGTTAGCAAAGCATTGATTTTTTTTTCACACTTAACTTACAGTTAAACTCTTGTAAAGATTGTACTTAGATATTTATAGATGCTGAAAGATTGTATTTAAAAAAGAGAAAATCTCTGTCATATTGATTAGGGTTTTAATTGATATCTATCTTTTATATATCTTAAAGTAATAATATAATCCTAAGACTTTCATGGGTATAAATAAAAGTGTTAATAGTGGGTATATCTGGGTGATGGGATTGTGTACAGTCATAATTATCTATATAGCTTTTCAAGTTTTCTATAATGAGCGTATTTTAATTTTATAGTCAGAAAAAATTTTGACTTAAAATGGCTCCCATTTGTTTAGAAGGCTGTTATGAACACTTAGAAGTTCTTTCTCTGCCCTTTTTTAATTTTTAATTTTTATTTTTTATTATCCAAATTATTTATTTTTATATAAATATGTATTTACATATGCATAAAATCCAAATTATTTTCATATATCTGATTTGTATGCATATATAATGTTTTATGTACTTTTATATATTTTTATATATAAATATATCCCAGAATAGTACTTTGCCTATACAATGTGTTCAATAAGTATTTCCTTTTTTACTTTTTTAATTATTTTTTTCCAGTAGACCCTTTATTTATTATTTATTTATTACCATTTACAAATATAATTTATTATTAAGTGGCTAGCATACAGTGTTTACAGTGTGCTCTTGCTTTTTGGGTAGATTCCTGTGATTCATCACTTACATCACTTACATACGTCACTTACATACACTTATTGGGCTCATCCCAATAAGTGCCCTCCTCAATGCCCATCACTCATTTCCCCTCTCCCCTGCAACCCCCATCAACCCTCAGTTTGTTCTCTGTATTTAAGAGTCTCTTATAGTTTGCCACCTTCCCTCTCTGTTTGTAACTATTTCCCCCCCCCCCCCACCCCGACCATGGTCTTTTGTTAAGTCTCTCAAGTTCCACATATGAGTGACAACATATGATATCTGTGTTACTCTGATTTATTTCACTTAGCATAAAACCCTCCACTTCCATCCACGTTGCTACAAATGGCAGGATTTCATTCTTTCTCATTGCCAAGTAATATTCCATTGTATATATAAACCACATCTTTATCCATACATCAGTTGATAGACATTTAGGCTCTTTCCATAATTTGGCTATTATTGAAAGTATCCGCAGCCTTTTTTTCACGTTTATTTATTTTTGAGAGAGAGAGAGAGAGAGAGAGAGAGAGAGATTGAGAGTGAGAGAGAAGGAGTGTGAGTGGGGAAGGGGCAGAGAGGAGGCAGGGACAGAGGATCCGAAGTGGACTCTGTGCTGACAGCAGTGTGCCTGATGTGGGGCTTGAATTCACAAACTGTGAGATCATGACCTGAGCTGAAGTTGAATGCTCAACTGACTGAGCCATCCAGGTGCCCCTGGTAGCCTTTTTATTATTGCTTCTCTTTTTATCTGCAGAGTTCTCATAGCTCAGAACTCAAAAGAGTCACTAAAGATGCCTCCCTACATTCATCACCTTGGGCTGCTATGAGAAAATACCACTTCTGGGGGACTTGAAAAACAGAAATGTATTTTCTCCCAGTTCTGGAGGCTGGATGTCCCAGATCAGGATGCCAACAAGGTTCGGTTCTGGTGAGGGGTCTCTTCCTGGCTCACAGATGGCCACCTTCTTGCTGTGCCCTCACAGGGCAGAGAGAGAGAGAGAACAAGCTCTTTAGTGTCTCTTCTGACAAGGGCCTCATCCTCATGACCTCGCGTAACACTGATCACCTCCCAAAGGCCTCATCTCCAAATACCATCACATCTCCAGCACATTAGGGGTTAGAGCTTCAACATAGGAATTTTGGAGGCACGTAGACATTTAGTCCTTGACACTCATTTCACTCAAACTGGCAGCATACAAGATTTCTGGAAATTGCATCTAAAAATAGAAAAACCCTGACAGCAGTACATAAAACATTAGTGATGGTTATCTCTTGATGGTATGATTAGAGGGGATTTTCTTCATTTTCTAGGAATTTAAGGTGTATTACTTTTATAACTGGAAAAAATAACAATATTATTTTCAAAAGGAGAACGAAATGCTATAGGATATAACATTCCATAATAATCTTGCAAATTTCAGAATCTTTTTATTTCATCTTCTTGAGGTTTTTCTGAGAATTGATAAAAATGTCTTTGGCACTTAGAGCACTTGGATGTTTGCACACAGTGGGACTCAATAAGTATTTGTTTCTCCTCATTTTCCTCTATTTAATGATGATGACAATGTAATGATTATTATATTGCTCCATGAGACATGCCACAGGCCATACAATAGAGGAAATTAAGGTAGAAAATAGCCACAAAATCAGGACAGATGTATTTGTTGCAAAGTTTTTCATATGAGTTAGTTATAAATAGGATAGGCCACTCATTGTCTTTATTTTTGGAACTCTTTAGTCTTTTAGATTCTTGAAAATGAATTGATAAAAAAAATTAGATCATAGTTTGTTTTTCATTAACATTCAAATACAAATGTAATAGAAGCTCCTTGGATCTGTACAATAAAAGAGCAGGTTGATAGGAAACCTACAGTCAAACTTTCAACATGATTCCTTCCCAAAACTGATTGGAGATTAATACCTGAGGTTGGGGAAGGGTTTTTCCCCTTTAAGAGCTCTCTCTTCTCTTTCTAACGCCTCATTTCTTACTATGCTCTATCTTGTGTATAGGGTCTGTCATTTCCTTAAAAAATTACCTATGGTTGGTTTTTTTTTCTCAATTCCATATTTGAGTGTAATATTTCTAGTTTTTTAACTCCGAAAGTCAGTAGGTTAGAGATGACCTTCAAGGTAGCAATGTTTTTGTCACTCAGGGAGCTGCTTGCCAAATAAATCATGACATTGTGATATTTTGGTTGCTGTAAATTTTCAATATTTAGTATATCAGGATTTAGTTATTTAATTGCACTGATGTCTGTATTCTAGATGAGAATCCTTCTCATTAGTAGATTTTAATTTTCTTCTCTGTCAGAGTCAATTCCAATCATGCCTTATAAATCCAGCTATAGAATGAATGCATGAACAAACCATTTTTATGTTTACAAGTAGACTAGAAATTATATGCTGGTAAACTATATCTGAAATTACAAATTAGTCCACTTAAATAGTGTGTGTGTGTGTGTGTGTGTGTGTGTGTGTGTGTGTGTGTGTGTATTAACACGTTAGATTGCTTTTATCCTTGTTGCTTTGGTAATCTGATTCCCAGGTATTAGACAAACCTATCTAGGCAACTCTCCATATTGTATTGACATATGATCTTTATTGGGAGCTAAAAGAATAATCTCACAAACAATCCTCAGAAGTGAAAAACATAAATTGTTCTGATTTCAGGGCTATGTCTATACCATAGATAATGTATTACTCCCAAAATTACTTTCTAAAATTCTGTTTTGATAATACTGAAAAAACAATTTTCTCTCTCTTTCTCTCACTCTGTCTCTCTCTTTTAACAACAGGACACAAAAATTGCTTCATTAGAGCGAAACATAAGGGATCTGGAGGATGAGATCCAGATGCTAAAAGCCAATGGTGTGCTGAACACTGAGGACCGTGAAGAAGAGATCAAACAAATAGAGGTTTACAAAAGTCACTCCAAGTTCATGAAAACCAAGGTATGGCCCAATGTTACAAACTTTTATACTCTTAATGTATAAGAGTATACATTAAGACTGGACTGTTATGACTTACATACATACTTCCCCAAATACCCACATAACTGGTTTTATGTGATATCATGAAATATGTGGACAATAATGAAGAAGGCAGAAGATTGTTAGTTCAGAAGTGTAGATTCCAAAAGGAAATCGGGGAACATTTTCGTTCAGATTTCTACTAATTAAGGTGTTCAAGATTTTCTAATGAGTAACTTTGATGTCTTGGGAATTAACATTTATTTTGAATAGTCCCCTGTCTTCCAAATTTCCCGAGTTTTCATAAGTTTGCTATTTTTGCAAAGTTTCTGTCATTGCCAAATTTTGACCCATCCCTAAGAAGGTGACTGTCTCAGAAGGTGTTGATCTTGGAAGCCAGTTTAACTCACTTCAATGGTATAAAGACATTTTGGTTTTAGCATAGTGTTTAAGGCAGAACTGATTTTGGATCCTAATGCTTAAATTCGCTTAAATTATTCAGCTTCTTTAAGCCTCAGTTTCTTCATCCATGAAATAGGAATGGAAAAAAGCAGAGACCTGCATCATTGATTGCTTTCACAATTCCAAGAGATTATGCATTTAAAGCACTTAGTCTCTTGATTGATCTCTAGAAAGCATTCAGTAAATGATGGTCATTGTTGTTGATAGTGTTACTATATTGTTGATATCTGTTGCTATAGAATATTTATAAAGTATAATTATAGTAACCCATTCTATTAATTTATATTGGTATTCCCAGTTTTAAGGAATTTGGTTTGTTATTTTTCAAAATTAAACTTTGGGCTGCAAATGAACCGAACAGCTATTACTTTTACCTATGCATAATTATTAATTTATGAATTGCCCCAAATAGATCTTTTGAGAGTTTGAGATG